CACAGTCCCTTCCCTCTGTCAACAACCTCTTTCCCTACACTCCTCGCACGGGCGGAGTAACCGCCGGAGCGCCGATTCTGCCCGTGCTTGCTGTCGCGGGTACACCTTGCTCGCTCTTCCTTTTTCCCCCCCTGGTTTCTCAGCCGCTCCAGCTATATCCACGTAGAGTCCCCTCGTAGGCTCAACACCACTGGTTCTATTCGAGGCAAAACGGTGACTGAGTCTTCAGGCCCCGACTAGGCAAAAAAAAAAAAAAAACAGGCTTGGGGCAGTGGACCCAGTACTTCGTCTGTGGTGGTGGCAAGGGCCCTTAGACCAGGGGTCATTTGGTGATAGGGCCAGCACCAGTTAGCCCTATCTGAAGGCTCGATAGCCGCTGCAAGCCAGAAACAACACAGCAGCGTGCATCATACCATTCCCGAACCAGGGAATTACCAGTCTGAACCGTGGCCGTCCGTACCATACCATCACCGAACCTGGAAACAACACAGTGTTTGGTGAACCAAGAATGATTTTGCCTAAACAAATAAAAAGGATATGCAAAAATAAACTAATTTGGACTGAATTAACACAAATATGGCGAAGTCGTGCGCCATACCGTTCCCGAACCAGGGATTTACCAGTCTAAGCTGTAGCAGGCTGTGTTGTCACCGTACAACACACTGTATCGTTACCTCACCAATGCAGAGCCTGAATTAATCGCTTGGAGATGCTGTAACCCATATCGTGCCGATGCCGACACAAGACCGTGCCTGAAAACGATGCAGTGGCGTGTACCACGCCAATGCCGAACCAATACCGTTCCTGAAACATGTCGAACATGGCAAGACGCAGCGGCGCGGCAATAGTACAAATCCTGAAGTAAACCGCCGTGATGGTCCCGGACCTGAAAATGAGTCACTACAGAGGTTCCGAACTTGAAATAAATCTCCGTGAGGGCCCCGAACCTGAAACGAAACACCGCGATGCCACCGAACCTGACCGGACCCGAAATCTAGTATCGGGCTGCTGCGCCACGCGGATGCCGAACCCGTACAACCATGCCATGATAATTCCGTACCTATCCCAAACCTGATATAGAATGCCGCAACGTTTCCGGACCTGAAAACAAACTGCCGCCAGGGTTCCAAACCTGGAATAACTGTCGTAGCGGCCCCGGTCCTGAGAATAAATCACCGCAGATGTCCCAAGCCTGAAAATAAGTCACCGTAGTGAAACAACTGTCACCGGGCCCATACCGAACCTGAAGCGCGTTGGAAACCGTAGGACGTAACCATGCCGTAACAACCCCCGTATCCGTACCGAACCAAACACCATACTGTCGATCCAAGGTAGCACCACCCCATGCTGTCCATGCGACTCCCGTTCTCAGAACATCCCAACTGCGGTAATGTTAGTAATCAAGCAAACCAGGGAAAGCGACGCAGGGAACCTCGACCATGGGCAGTAGTGAAAACTTGTCTAAAATCCGGGGAAAATGATCAATCCGGGGCCAGAGCTGATGGCGGGTAATCAAGGCGAAATTAGGCCAATCTCCCAATAGTCATGGGTTTCCGTCCC